ATCTGTGTCCAACAGTCAAATCCAAGAGAATGTGGTATGACATTTTGGCAATTTTAGCAAAATCCTTCAATCTTTAAGTTAATGAACTGAATCAATTATACACTAAGGAGGAGGATGAATGTATGAAATACTGCTCTCCTACAGGATATTGGTACAGTGTATCAGATTTTTGCAGATGAAGTGCTGGGATCTGGTCAGTTTGGAGTGGTGTATGGAGGTATGTAGATTTATGTCCAGTGATGCTGATTGAGCTCCAGATTGCTGTATTTTGTGAAGGTCAAAATCAATAGCATAAAGGGCTGTATAGAAACAATTGTATCTAAGCTAACCTAAGCTAACAGGACACAAGACAGTACATCACAAACCTCTAATGGAGTTGGTGGTGTTTGTGTGCCACAGTACTGTCTGGTACTAAAACATCAAATTAAAGTTGCTACTAGCACAAAGTGCTTGTATCTCTGACCGAACTGACAGCAATACAGACAATCACAAACTCAGAGCCTAATATATGTTCACATGTCCACATTCACCGCCACATGTGTGACTAATAATCTCTAAATCTAAATATCTTCATCAGGTAAGCACAGGAAAACAGGGAGGGATGTAGCTGTCAAAGTCATTGACAAGCTTCGCTTTCCCACCAAGCAGGAGAGTCAGCTGAGGAATGAGGTGGCCATACTGCAGGTAAATGCACACATATGTTTTAATGCAGCTGTAAATAGATATCATTTGTACATACATACTGATGTTGACATAGTAACATGTGCTTTGCTATATAGTGGACACTGGTGTGGGTAGTTATTTTAGCACATACTGTGCTGACCTTCATTCCAGTACAGTACAAGTATGTAAATATTCCAGCATAAATTTTTATCATTTCTAAAAGAAAGTACACCAAACAGTTTCCAACGGATGAATAAGTGACCAGTCTGACCAACCTATGGTTTGTGGACCATTTTTGAAAATAAAGAAAAACTCCTCACTCAAAGTCAGTCGTCAACGAAATATTCAGAGCCTTAAAGGGTCCATGTGTAGTTTTCAGGGGCCTCTTGTGAGGTTTCAGATTGCAACCACTACCTTCCCAAACACGTGGTCATGCTCAACCTAATCGAGCAAGCCAAAACAGAGACCGACACACCAGAGACAGCATCACACAAAAGGCTGGAAACTTAGGTAAACTCCCACTGCAACATTACAGTAATATTTGTAATTATTTGCTTGACGTTGAACTTATGCTCTGCATTTAGCCGAAAGCTTTTCAATATTTGTGTAGCTTTCAATATAGAGGCTCAGTCAAGTCAGCATACCTAAATATATTGAATGATAACAAAAACGGTTGAGCTAGCTAGAATATTTTTAAATAAGATTGTTGCCGCACTCCATGACTCACGCCTTTCCCGATGCTGACAGTGATTTTGCCCATCTGATTCTGGAGTGACCTGTCTTTTTTGTTTTTATCCTCATGTGGAGTTTGTGTTGGAGTCTGTTGTGCTGGGATCTTTTTTGTTGTTATTGGACTCCATTTTGTTAGCTGTGGTGTTATCGGTGTGTACAGTTCAGAGTCAGTGGGCAAGAGGCTCGGGACCATGCATGAACGTCACAGCGTACTTACGGGATGGATTTCGTGGAAAATTGGACCCGATTTGTTCACATTGCAAGGGGCACAGGGACTGCTCCCAGCCACTGAGAAAGCTGGCAAATGGTTTATTTTGTATGTGAGGTTACAACCCGTTCACAAATAGGCAATTTGACTAAAAACATACATGGGGGCTTATAGGGGCTACATATAGCACCTTTAAGTTAATGTACTAATACCACACTATAAAAATACTCGGTTTGGACCCAAAGTGACACCTTCACAATGCTTTCTTTGTCCTAATAACAGTCCAAACCTCTTTACTATTATTAACAATATTACAATGATTAAAATATTTAAAAAGAAAAACAACAAATCTTCAAATCTGTGACACCAGTTCAATTTCTGTCAGTCAACTAATCATTTCAGCTGTACTTGTATACATGTAGTTGGGTAGTTTAATTTATAACAAAACATTATATTTGATAACCTCTCAATAAAAATAATATTTTGTGTGTCAAAAGAGTAAGTAATTAGTAACTAAAGCTGTCAGACAAATGTAGGGAAATACAATACAGTGTTTCCCTTTGAGAGGTAGTGGAGTGAACTTCCAGGTTTCTCTGATTTAGATTCACTCTTAAATGTAGAGTACAGTGTTGACCAGCAGATGGAGACTGATATGCATTATTCTGTCTATTTGCTGTCGAAACTTGTTTATGACTTTCTGACTTCCCCTTCAGCTTTACAGTTACTCTTGTGGCCTTTCAGACTTCAAAGGCTCTCCCACGCCAGGTTTCCAGTGAAATAAGCTATATTTTAAAAAGGGATGCCCCTTTGAATCATATACTGTACTTTTTTGCTCTTGCCACGTGGAGAAAATGTTATGGCATTTTACGTAATAATTCGTTTTTCTGTTCTCCCTGCTGTGTATCACATTTTTCCCCTGTGGTTTACTGTCCCTTGCTCTCTGTCTTATTTTCTCTTTCACTTCTCACTCTGGCTGTGTCAATACCTCTTTTTCACCATACTCTCCTCTTTCACTTACTACCCCCCCCCCCTTTTATAATCCCAATTTCCATTTCATCCTATATCTCCTCTTCCTCTCTGATCCCTCTCTCAGAGTTTACGTCACCTGGGCATTGTGAACCTGGAGTGTATGTTTGAGACCCCGGAGAAAGTGTTTGTGGTGATGGAGAAGCTACATGGTGACATGCTAGAGATGATCCTCTCTAGTGAGAAAGGCAGATTGCCTGAGAGGCTCACTAAGTTCCTCATTACACAGGTATGTATACGCCCCATAGAAGGGATTTGTTATGTGTACAGATATATTCTATTACAAAGTGTTGCATAAATGTTGTGTGCGTGCGTCACTTATTATTGACAATGATGTCCCGATGCTGCAGTGTATTGCTGCTTTTTGTGGTCTTCCTGTCTGAGCATCATGATGCGTATTTAACGTGTTTGAAAGTGTGTTTTTTCTCGTGGCTACGTATTTACTTGCGGTTGTGTGTGTGTGCATGAGCAGATTCTTGCAGCTCTGAGACATCTGCACTTTAAGAACATCGTTCACTGTGATCTGAAACCTGAGAATGTGCTGCTTGCCTCTGCTGATCCCTTCCCCCAGGTACACAAACACAGAAACACACACAAATACACATTCACACACTAACACCCTTTCGCATATGCAGCAATTGTGGTTATGACACTGTTATAAGCATGTTGTGTTTCCTCAATTCTATCTTTGTTTTTCGTTAAACTAAGCAAATGGCAACTTGTCTCTTTCTTATTCCCCTCACTGTTTGCTTCTCTCAGGTGAAGTTATGTGACTTTGGTTTTGCCCGCATCATCGGCGAAAAGTCTTTCCGTCGCTCTGTAGTTGGCACCCCCGCTTACCTGGCCCCGGAGGTTTTGCTGAACCAGGGCTACAACCGCTCACTGGACATGTGGTCGGTTGGCGTCATTATGTATGTCAGCCTGAGTGGGACATTCCCGTTTAATGAGGACGAAGATATCAACGACCAGATCCACAACGCAGCCTTCATGTACCCTCACAACCCCTGGAAACAGATCTCCAGTGATGGTAAACAAAGAGGGAGAGGAACGAGATGAGAGTTTTATTGTTAGACACGGATGGGACTGATGTATTAGACTGCATTAGTTTTAGCTAGGTGTACCTAAGAAACTGACGACTAAGTGTAACTGCGGTTAACATGAACTGTCAAAGCAGGACAAGCCATTCAAAATCAAATGTGTATATTTCTTAATCCATTTTGTAATAATGCCACACAGTAATATGCGGCCCAGATCCTTCATAAGTTCTGGGCCAGATCTGTAAAACGGACCCGAGCCGGTGTCCTTTAGCACAACGGGCCAATGCCGGTTCGGATCCAGTTTTCACATCTGGGCCGGCACTGGTCCAGCTCCAGAACGGATGACAATTATTATGTAGTCATTTGGCCCAAATGTGGGCCAGATCTGGACCAGTTCCATACTGGATCTGGCCCAGAGTCTCTAAGATACTGTTGAGGATCCAGTTTTCAAATCTGGACTGGCACTGGGCCAGCTCCATTTATTAGTTCTGGCCTGGATTCACCCCACCTCAGGCCTCTTTCATAACCTTGATCTATACCCACAAAACATATACAAAAATATGATTTTTTTTGTTAAAGGGATAGTTAAAATTTTTACCATCAGATGTTGTGCATGACTCACCAAGTGCTATGGATCCTACTACTAGATAACAGTTAAGGTATACCCTTTCTGTCTGAGAAGCCAAAGGGTTACTGGGATAGTTTATATAATGTATAACAAATAGTGACTTGTATATCACTAAGGTACACTAAGATTTCTTGTTTCTTTCGTTTTCGTTTTCCTTGCATTTTAAACTCGATTACTTTTTTCTTTTGAATTTAAAAAGCATGGACAGTCAAAACTACTGTTACACTTTGTTACAAAGACTGTTTCTATTTGTCCTACACAGAATTTCAACAAAGAAAGTGATAGAATGGATGAGTGACACATTTTAAATTTTATTTAAAATATTTGAAATGTTTGAGATAAAAAGCGAGGACAGAAACTTAAAACAAAGTAGATAATTGCCAAACTAACATTCAATCTAATAAACACATTTTACAGCTCATTTCTGTCTTTAACAACTGTAGGAACAAGAACAGTTGACTTGCAGGTGCAGGTGATTAGTTTCTAGTAACCATACAGTAACCACACAACTATGACACAGGTGTTATTTTTAAATGAATGCAGAAGTATTAAACTCTAATAATAGCAACAGTGTGGTTTAGTTAAAAAGCTCAATACATTGACATTGCTATCAGTCTTGCATAGTGTAGTGTACCATTAGTAATGATGATAGTAAGAAAGTAAGATTTGCTTTTTCCCTGAGAGAGATGAGAAGATATATACCACACTCATGATACCATACTCTACATATAAAGCTAAAGCCAGGAGACACACGAGATTCTACGGCCTAAACACACAAGATAACGTTTTAATTAGCGACAAGCGATAAGTTTGTCTTGATAGATGATTACTGCCAGCCATTTAGATTTTAACCATTTTCCATGACCATGGTATAAATAACAAAGATTTTATAGCCAAAATACAATATCCAACTCCAACTAGCCATGTGAAACCCAGAAAACCCTCACATGACACCCAACAAATCATCAGTAGTGGAGTGGGGGATGGCCGATGTGTTCATTTCTGCAAAGGATAAAAGAATGGGTGATTACTCAACTGATAATGGCAATCACAAATTACATAAAATCCACAGAGATTAGTAATTTTAAAGGGGGCTGGACTAGACTAGGACTGGAAGTCCAATTAAGTGAACATTTTACCGCGATTACAACTAATGAATGATTATTTAGATTTTTTTGCCCTCCTAGTTCATCTACTAGTCACCTCCACATATAATACGAATACTAAAATACTTACTTATCAACAGAGTTCTTGTCAGCATTTCTTTAAAATATTTCTTTTCCCTTTACTCCTTTCCAATTAATCTGTTTGGCCACTGTGTTTGAGAAAACCATTGAATGTATATTCATATAAAAGATTGAACAGTAAATACTATTAACAGAATGTTATCTGTGAAAGTTGCTAAAATAAGGATGAAAGAGCACTGTATGCAGATCAGTGGTGAAGTTACTAGTACAGCAGAGCTGACCGGAAGTCAGACAAAATGTAAAAAGTAGTCAAAACACACAAAACATTTTATACATTTGACAGTTATGTGTACAGTTACCTGTATCTATATAATCATATGAAAAGGACAACAAAAAAATTAAGACCTTTGTAAATAAATGTAAGAGACTTATTTTTGAAAGAGTTTTTAAATTATTTTAAGACCCAGTGGGTAACGTTACCCTGCATGACAAATGACCCCAGGAGCTCAGCTCTGCTAATGTTACAGGTTTGCACTGCATTGTGATTTTGGAACAAACCCCAGTGGTAGTAACGATATGTACAAAGCCTGCAACAAAAAAATATGAGGTAAATTAAAAAGAATGAGTAATGCTGATTGTACCACTGCCAGCAATCTCAGTGTACTGATATCATGAACCTCATTGTAATTGTAAAATTTGATGAATTACTGAGAACCGTCAGCCTCTAGACAAAATAACATTTCTTACAGCTCCTGACAGAAATCTGAGGGTAAACACTTGGTAAGCTTAACATAGCACACTATATCCCTCGGAAAACGCCCCAAATAAATCAGGAACTGCTCCTCAACCATAATACCGCGGTGTGATTTCATACAAAGTCAATGAAAAGACACGGAGAGAGGAGATTTCCCGCCCATATACCTTATTTGTCATAATGAATTTACGTTTTGATTAATGTCAGATGAAAATTCCAACTTCTTTAGATGGCTTTGATTTTTTAAACACTTAACACACCTATCATAACTTTATAACGTTATGCTCAACTATAGCCAAGATCAAATCAAAGCCAGAAAAAAGCACTTACATTAACTTAACTTACCCTATTAATCCCGAGCTGTCAGCCAGGGGTGGAGAAAAGATTGAACCTAAAAAGGAGACAGGTGCTGTCAATTGGTGCTGTTGGAAACTAACGTTACAACATCGTTGTAAGTTAACTAACGTTAACGTTAAACATCATTAATGTTTTATGCTAGCTGCACACAAAGTTGTTTATTAATGCTAGCTAGCTTAGCTATCCGTTCATTCAGTTAATTTAGCTAACCCAGCTAAAAAGCTAACGTTAGCCAATGCCTCTTCAACAGTTTTAGCCATTTTAAGAAGTTAAAACCCGGTCAAAACATTCCGATGTGATGATGTTAATGATGTTAACAAGCATTACACCACTATTAAAAACAATCACACTAAACTGTTTGACTGTAACATCGTTCAACTTACCGTTATAAACTCTTTCCCCAAAGCTTCCAGTCCGAACTGATCCAAAGAAAGACAAACAGTTCGCGCGCTCGTTCCGACGGCCCCGGGCCAGAACAACTACGATTCCGCCGACTGACTTCTGGTCCGGTATGAACCGGTTCGAAAGAAACAATTCGCGCGCTCGTTCCGACGAGTCCGGGCCAGAACTATTATGATTCCGCCGACTGGTGGAGGCTCACGCCCACTCCTGAGTGCACACAGACTACATGCGGGCCGGATCTGGAACGGGGCAGTAAAACGGGCGTGACTGTTACACGGATCTGCCGGTTTGGAGGCGGAATTCGGCCCAGAGTCAGCTGCTATCTGGTGCAGTCATCTGAAATTGCATTTCTACAGCAACATTATGCATGAATAAAATTGTTGAGATGAAGCTGACAAATGGCACGAAGACATAATTGTAATGATTTGTGAATATTTGTTATTTTTACTGTAACTAATCCGTTTATTTTTAGACCAATTTGTATACTTCTGTTTTTCTAGCAATCGACTTGATCAACAACCTGCTGCAAGTTAAGATGAGGAAACGCTACAGCGTGGACAAGAGTCTCAGCCACGTATACTTACAGGTAGCATTTAGAAACTACTTGTACACACACAAACATGCCCACTGCCTTGTATGAAAAAATAACTAGGTTTAAAGTCTTTCCGACACCAGTACATCCATTAATCCCCAATTCAAAGGACAGGAAGCAGTACCTTTTGCAGATAAGGGGACTGCCAATAACTTTAGTGGCAGAGCAGTACTACACAAGAATGTCACCTTTTTTTTTTTTTTACTTCTACAAACCCCTCAATAAAATCTGTGACCATTACAGAAAATGGCAAATATAAACACGAGGAGACTGCCCTCATAACAGGTGGAGAGAACAGCTCAAGGTTGATATTTTGGAACTTTAATGAGGATGTAAGAGGACAGATTAGCTTTTATTGACTACACAGTTCTTAAATGTCTCCTTCAAAACACAATGTTTAGCAGGGGAAAAACAGGCCAGTTTTCTCTGTAGGTTTAAACCAGTCCACTGTTGTTGTTTTTGTTGAGAAATTACCCATTAATTAAGTTTCAATGTCACATTAGCCCTAACTTTGATAAAGTCTACTTTCCTCAGAAACTATCAGATCAGCCTGGGGTCATTCAAGTTCTGACACACACACACACACACACACACACACACACACACACACACACACACACACACCTAAAGTGATTACTGAATGATGATGTGCTATAAACATATAAAAGCCCATTTAAGTCTGATCTAATTTCAAGGCTCCTGAAACTGAAACCTCATCCCTGTGTTTGTTCCTGCTTGTCGTGTCTCAGGACTATCAGGCGTGGCTGGACCTGCGGGAGCTGGAGACTAAACTCGGCAGGCGTTACATCACCCATGAGAGTGATGACAGCCGCTGGCAAATGTATGCCCGAGAACATACTCTGCCTTACCCCGCTTACCTCGTGCCTCCTCCTCCTGCCCCGGCCTCGGACGATGAGGAAGGCGGGGAAGACGCAGATGTGCAAGGCCTCACTGAGAGGGTCAGCATCCTCTGACAAGAGAGACAGAGGACTCATTTAAGAAGGAGGAAAGAAGTAGGGAGAGGGATGGAGGAAGAGAGTGTCGACCAAGAGGCTGAAAGAGACATACAGTTGCTGAAAATAGTATGGTTCTAATAAGAATAGTGTCTAGCAGATTAGACTTCCATAGCAAAGCATCTGTGTGCCAGAACTCAATGTTACAATAATAAATCCAGTTCCTCTGCTCCAGCCTGAGGTCAGCAAAACTTCCTTCTGATCATTTACCCCTGCTATTATTGGTCCTCCTTCATCTTTTGAATTGCTGAACTCTGTCCATGATGGAGACCGACTCTGTTTCACATCATCTGTGTGGCTGAACTGGGACATCTTCACAGTTACAATCCAAGTTCAACTTGAAAAGCAGCACATTCTTTTTTCACTGCAAAGCGCTCCAAATATGAAGCAGGAAATGCTATTTCACCACAAGCGATGAAAATTAGAATTTGGTGTTAGGTGTGTTTATTGAAGTATTTTTTTCATTTAAAATGAAACTGCCTCCCATTAAAGTAGAACATTTGCTTTTAGAGTCATTTAATTGGACTGACTGGAATAACAGTCCCTCTTGTGTCTTCAGGAAAGACCGGTTCCATCTATTTTCAGAGATGGAAGCCTTTATAGTAACAAAAGACTTCCCCTGTGCTGGTAATTACTAATGTGCAGAGATGGAGTCAAACCCATCTGTATTTACAAAATCATGTCATGTAGTGAAAACTGGAATTATTGATCTGGGGACAGAAAATCCAGTCATTACCACTTTTGCGCCACAAGAGACTCTTAGAAAACATATGTGATTAAAAACATCACGGCAGGTTTAAATGAACTCTAGCACTGGGCTGCCATGACCAGACCGTTTTTAACAATGTCATGTGAGACATTTCTACCTGCAGCTAACAAATTATACAACATTAGCCACTATTACTGTTGCTAAATGGTGAAAATTGCTTCTATTGTGTTGAGTCGCCTACTCTCAAGCAGTTATATGGTGAATAACGTGTGTGTGTGTGTGTGTGTGTGTGTGTGTCCACTGATTCAAATACTTGTATTGATGGCAACATTTTTACACTTGAGCAGGTAAATGGACAACAACAAACAACACAGCTCCTGTATTGTTGTTAGGAAGAGCAGACCTCTGCCTGTGATGTAAGTGTACAGATGATCAGCTTGGTTACTAAACTAGATTTTGGAGAGTGTACGTAGTTTGATTATTGACCTACTGTCAATGTCAATGTGTTGCATGTTTCTGTGAAGTAGAATTATGGAGATAAAATTAAAACATACTTTAGTTATGATAGTCTATTATACACGTGTAACCTGAAGTTTATATAGTAGTCAAAAATGTGTATGACTGTGTATGGCATGTTTGAAGGATAATCCTAGCCTTGGTAAACAGATAATAGAAACCTTGAAACATATTATTTTTTGTCTTGGATGTTTTATTTAGTGTATCATTCATTTGGCTGAACTGTCAGTATATTTAAGAAACAAGGACCATTACTGTCACTCAGGTTTTCTATATCAGAAGCCAAAGACAACATTTTACCCTCTACTCACAGTCTATCAGACAGTTATTTTTAGGGCTACAGCTCTCGATGATTTTAGTAATCGAGTATTCTACAGATTATTTAATTGATTCAAAATTTAATAAGTACTTTTGCTTGGCGGCCGTGGCAGCACCCCCTTCCCCGGTACCGCAATCAGCTAGGTAAGTAACTCATGAATGTCAGGTTACACGGCCCAATCAGGTGGAGATCAACAAACACGCGTATATACATTTACAGCTGAGGATTGCGGCTTACTTTTGCTAGCCTTCACCTTAACAATCAATCATGATTTCAGTTAAATGCTAAAGTTGCTGTTACTGTTACCTTGTCTTTGGTCTGCTCCGTGGATGCCAGACCTGGGTGCTTTCTGATCAGATGCCGTTGTGCTGTTGCGGTAGGCTACAAAAGTTTCATGACACGGTGGACAGACTGTAAGATTCGAGAGTTGTTCTTTTAGCTTGAAATAATTCCATACTTTGGACACTTTCTGCTTCGTCCCTCACTATTTTTTCTCCTTTCCTCCACTTTGCAAACAGCGCCATCCTAATCATGTCGTGTTCACTTCGATGCAAAGAATTTGTGTCAATGCTTTTTACAGGGTTTCCGCGGGGTCTTAAAAAGTCTTATCAAAATCACCAGGGCTTGGTGAAAACTAGTTGCTAGCAACGTATTTGAAGCCAGCTGTCACTACTTAATGAATGAGCGCAGCAACAAAAATTTCAAACGATCATTAATGATTTTCAGTAAGCTATGGTAACACTCAGGGCATGGCTGTCTCCTTATCCTCATTCTTCAAAGGATGAGCGAATGTGAGGGAGAGAGCGGCAGAAAGTGGCTGTGAAAGCAGAGGATAAGAACAGCATTAAGTTGTCAGGTTACAGCTCTGTCCTGTCCTGTACTGTAAATCTTGATAGTTAAATGAAAAAGAAAGGGCCTTAGTGACCACAGAGGAGTTGAGGTTAGTAAAGTTAAAGCAAATTACGGATGCAAACTTGTCCTTTTCAGCTAATGAGATTAATCTTTTGGATTTTGATGTACAAATGAAATGCTTGTAATTATACAAAAGGGAGGTGGTTCTCACGTTGCCTATTTTTATGTTAATTTCTACAAATATATAAAGCAGTAAATTAAAAGGCAAACATGAACAGTCTGTAATGATTCTGAGGTCATATTAACAGTGTTTTCCTGCCATTATAAGGTGGTGAGGCTCAAAACAGCTTGATGCTGTGCCATCAATGTAAAATCATTGTGGAGAGCATCAAAACTAATCACATGAATTTTCCCAGATCTAATGGTTATAATTCAAACCCAGTAGACTTATTTACCAAGTTTAGCTTTTGGGGTGTAGTTTATTCAAAATCTGCAAGATTTTCCTACTTATTATTCACAGATGTGGTAATAACAATGTTCCAAAATTATGTGGAATTGCATATTTCTTTATTGGAAAACATTAAAAATATTCTTGTGGGATGACCACCAAACCCCCAACACAAAAATACAATCTTAATTTTTTACATTATACCGCCCTGTGAACGCATATTTTAATGGACATTATTATTATTATTTGTAAATGTACCTGCTTTGCACCTGCCTCAACTTCTCCCTGCACTCACACACACACACACAGACACCTTTACCTCTGGTCTCTCACTGCAAACACACCGGCTTTCCCCGCCTTACTCTGTCTCCCTGTCTGCTCCCCTGAGTTTCTCCATCAGCAGTAGATTATGTTTTATAAAGTCGCTGATAAGACACAGAACTTGTCTTTTTTCTGGATATTTCCACCTGTTATCCTTTTTCACCTCTCCTTGCACCTTTGACAATTACGTAGCTTATCAATGTCATAGTCCATCTTCAGTGTTTCATTGTTTGGCATCATCCAATGCCAATTTTGTAGACATCACTCAACCCTAATT